GGGGTGCTGAGGATGGATCATGCAATGGAGTTGGTTTTCTCATCCACCAAAAGCTGCAAGACTCTGTAGTAAAATTTGAAAGTGTATCAGAAAGAATAGCCCAATGCATCATTCAATGAAAAAAAATACACATTTCAAATAATCCAAGTGTATACATCAACAATAAGCTATATTGATGATGAGGTCAAAGAGCTTTACAGTAAGGTGGCCCAACTTCAAGATAAAGAAAAATGCTCATACAAAATGCTAATTAATGGTGATTTTAATGCAAAACTAGAAAGAAGAATAACTGGAAAAAAGCTACCTGTATGGAAGTGATGAACGAGATAATAGAGGCGGTAGACCAGTAGATTTTGCTGAAGGACAGTTTTATATCATGAACTCATTTTAAAAGAAAAAGGCTAGCAGAAAATAAACATGGAAGAATCCATCTGGTACACAAGCAAAATTCACTACATCATGGCAAGTGATAAAACCATATTCTCCAATTGTACCTCCATCAGTTGCTTTAACGTTGGAAGTGTCCATAGAATGGTACAAGCTAAAGTGAAGCTAAACTGTCAGAGTGTATGCAAATTATAAAGATGTCATGAAAAACAAAAATAAAGAGTGATAAGCTGTTACAGAAGAACAGCAATTTTGAGATTAATTTATAAAATTGTTTCGCTTTATTGCAAGATTTGGAAGAGATGAGCATTATGGACCTAAATGAACCAATAGCAAAAAGCATCTTTGAATCTGCTAGAGAACTGCTGGAAAAACACTTGTACAGTCAAATAATACCACTTAGAAACATGGAAGATCAAGGAAGTGCTGGAAATAATAAAATAGCAAATAATAGCTGTAGCCAAGAAGATCAACAAATATGAAGCTTGAATTGCAAATTAGAGGCAGAATCTCTAATTTCAATCTAATCAGAATCAAGTGCCTAGAAATAACATTAGTCAGTTAGCTTTGGGCAAAGATTGATGGCACAATGGAAGACAAGGTTGCTGGTCAATGGTGAAAGAATTGGAGAGGTTTAAAAACAAGAGAGGAATCTCCCAAGGAAACTCACTATCACAACAAAAGATTTGTCATTGCACTGGTTCGTCTGTCAGCAATACTGAATAACTCAGGCAATGATTATCAAACATCAAAAACATCTGCCAGGCTACTCCACTTGCTTTACATGGATGATTTGAAAGTATATGGTAAAACACTGTTTGAAATAGCATCGCTGCTCAACATTGTCCGTATAAACAGCCAAGATATTGCAATGGAGTTTGGACAGGACAAATGTGCCATGCTTGCCATACAACAGGGAAAATAGTGAAAACTGACAGAATTAGGATGCCCTATTGAAATGATATCAAGAGTCTGCATGAAGACAATCTCTGGCTACCTCTCAAGCTGACAACATCAAGCACAATGAGATGAAGAAAAAGGTTACAAATGAATACATCAAGAAAGTGAAGAAGATCTTAAAATCCAAACTCAGTGCAGGAAATACCGTTAAGGTAATCAACACCTGGGCAATTCCAGTCATTAGATACACAGAGGAATAGTGGACTGGACTCAAGAAGAACTAAAGGTTTTGGACAGGAAGACCAGAAAAATAATGACAATGAATCATGCCCTTCTTCCATACAATGATGTTGAAAGACTCTACCTACCAAGGAAAATGGGTCAGCATGGAATGTAGCAGGTACATCAGATGGTTGAAGAAGAAGAAAGGGCATTAGAAGAATATCTGAAAGAAGTGAAGAAGATGCATTCTAGCTAGTATATTAGGAAAGCTTACCGACTACTGGCAAGACCAAACTGGCCTACAAGAAAGACCAAATGAAGAACAGAATGGACGCATGGGAAGACAAAGCACTACATGGCCAGTACACTAAAAAAATTCCAGGGAAAACAGAACAAGACCTGACAATGGCTAAGAGCTGCATTCTAACCACTGCGTCACCAGAGCTCTGGTATATAGAAAGATAATAAATATTTGAGTTAAAATACCAATAGAAAAAGAATACAATACAATATTACCTTACACTCATCTACTCAAAAGTAAAGCCTGATGATTTTAATAAGGCACAGAAAGTGTTTAATATACAGAGGTGGTATTCAGCAGGTTCTGACCAGTTCTGAAGAACCGGTAGCCGAAATTTTAAGTAGTTTGGAAAAATGACAAATACCACCAAGCCACGCCCACAGAACCGGTAGTAAAATTTTTTGAATCCCACCACTGTTAATATAGTATATGTGCAACCAAGTGCATATTGAACTACACGTTATAAGAATACACAAGAGAGCACAAGAAGAGCATGAATATTGCCAAACGCCTACAATAAATATAGGAAAAAAGCAAATCACAATTGCATGTTGTTATATTCATGACTGCTTATTCATAAGAAAATATATTATAATAATCTCCAGGTTAATGCATTTTAAAGTTAAAATTATTCTTTTGACACAACACAGTAATTTTAGTTATCATATTTCGTAGTTGCCCAATGACAACAGCCCAGGAGGATGCACTGTCAATTTAAATAACTGCCTTCTTGTACAATACAATATATTATAAAAATTAAATAAGATACTAGCAGGGATGGGTAACTAGGGGTTCACCCGGGTTCGGGTGAACCCGTAGCTAATGTTATGGCTGCTTCAGCGAACTGCCAAATCCCATCCCTACCTGGCCCCGCCCACCCTGCCCCTCCCCTCCCAGGAGTCTCCACGCAGCCTGTTTTGGATGTGAGGTAAATACAGGGCCCGCGTGGAGGCTCAGAGAGGGCGAAAAATGGGCCTCCCGGAGGCTCCGGAAAGCCGGAAACAGGCCCGTTTCCGGCTTCTGGAGGGCCTCCGGAGCCCAGGGAAAGCCATTTTCGCCCTCCCAGAGGCTCGAGGAAAGCCTCCGAAACCTGAGAAAGGCAAAAATGCACCCCTCCAGGCATGGTGCAGGAGGCCGACTAGGCCATGCCCAACATGGCCACGCCCACCCAGCAACTGGGCAGAGAACCGGTTGCTGAAATTTTTGAAGCCCACCTCTGGATACTACAGCAGTTGATGTCTGACTCTTAAGATTTCACTCAGTTTTGAAATGTTTTTGGTGTGTAAATAGATGGAATTATATTGCCACCTAGTGATCTGTAGCCCAAATGTAAATACACACACAAAAAATTCACCAAAAATCTTTAGCATTCATTCTGTTTTTGCCAATAAAAATAGAGGGCTACCAAGATCTTAAATTGCTGCTAATAAAATGTATTGTGCTTATTGAATGTGATGATGACAGTAATGATGGTTTTGTAAATCACCCATACCTAACCTACTTACATTTGAAGTAGTTTTTGCTTTAATTTCTGAAATGACAGATACAGTATTTACTGATCATTATTACCCAAACATTTCTGTTGTTTTTCAAAGTAATAATGCAGTATTTATTTTTTTCATTTGAAAAACCAAAACACTAACCAGTTATTTTCCTGCTGTGGGGAAAAAACGTGTTTAAACCTGAGTTATTTGCTTACCAAACTACATTTCCCTTGCTTCCTTTCTTGCCTCCTTATTTATATTGTTTTATTATAAGAACACATATTATTGGATATAGTGATATTTATGGAGTGCTGCCTACATAACCCTGATGATTTTTAGATAGCTTACACCTTTAAAGATAAATGAAAATTTAGAAATCATTAACGGTGACTTCTAAAATGTTAACATTGTTCACCATAAGGTTGCTTAAATTTTACATCTAAGTTACATCTGAGTGTGGCATTAATAAACTGAAAAAATACATCCAATTGTTCACATCTTAGGCTTAATTCTTAACACTAAGATTGCCACAGTATTGTTTCTTATTGTTTATGGTATTGTTGATGCATGCCAGAAAAAAAAGACAAAAGCAAACACCTTTCTCATTTTCTGTTTTGTGCTTCTGTCAGTTTGCTTTATTGCTAATGTGTATGCAGCACTGATTATTTTAGTACAATTGAATTGTTAGCACATGCATTTTAGAGGATGAACAGGAAATTTTATCGAAGGCAGCAACATGGGCAAAAATGAAGCCATAACATTCCCAGCAAAGAAACAGTATGAAAAAGTAGGATCAGTCTGCCAAAGATAATGGTCAGAACAGCTGTGGGCAGCCAAGAAAAGAGGTGAAATAAACAGAATAGCTTGTTGTGTGGATAGAAACAACAGCTGTATGAGTTTGAGAGAGTGAGAGAGACAGAGATAAGCTGATTAACCTTGAGGCCAGCAATGCCATTCAAAACTCTGATCTGTCTCTACTGCCTGAGAAATGACATTTGAGCAGGGCTTCTGTAACTGATTGTTAAAAACTCACATGCCCCACAACATTTTAAATTGTTGTGTCTCTTCCTGCCATTTTTGCTGTTCAGATACGGTGCGAGTAACAAGACTATGAACGGATTTTAATAAAACTGAGTTGTACTAAGATGGTCTCGGCTTTTACGAATATTTTTTTTTTAAATGAAACCCTTGAACACACGCACTTCTGAGTAAGCGTGATCACCATAAGAAATGCATTTTAAATATATAACCGCTTTTTCATCTCCTTCCTCAATCTCCTGCCCTGCCAAAGCCTCACTAACGTGGCTTTTATTCCTGTGTAAAAGTTATGATGGAATTTAGAGACTCAGGGCACGATTCGTTTTCGCGGTTTTTACAGCAATGTTTAAAAAATGTAAATCTCTACACCGCTCAGAATCGCTCTAGAAGGGAGATGGGAAGTCTCTAAATACGATAGGTAAATCAAATAAAAATAAGGGGAAAAAATGAACGGATTCCTGCGCAGGATGGATTTACAGTGCGTGATTACTACTGCAATGGAAATTCTTAAGCCAAGCCCGAAGTGAAAACTACTCTTCTTTCTATCTCTATAGGAAAAAAAAAAAAAAAGGACTTACCATAGAGGCTCACCGCCCCGCCCTTCTTGAGTTGGCAGAACGGCAGCGACATAAAAGTTCCCGGAACCGGTTACAAACGGCCGTGGGGCATTGTGGGTTGTCGGCGTTACTTGCGGGCGACGGAGTGGAGGAAGCGACTGTTGTTGGGGTCTTTCCCCCCTCTCCTGCCCGAGTCCCGACCCCCTCTAACGGCGAGCGCTCCCGATAGCGGCGGCTGCGGCTGCTGCATTCGGCCCGGCCATGTCCTTCAACAGAATTCCACCGCGGTGGCTGAACTGCCCGAGGCGCGGACAGCCCGTGACAGGTAAGCTGTGTCGGGACGGAGGACGGGGTGATAAGCCCGTTTGATAAGAGAGCCCGTTGCGTATCCCGCCATGTGGTGCTTGAGCCCTCTCCTCCGCATGTGGAGGCTGAGCAGCCTTTGGTCCAGCTCGTATTGAGGGTCTTCGCTCTGTTGGACCAGCATTTATTAATACAGGTAGTCCTCGACTTACGACCACGAGGGAGCTCAAGCCTTCTGTTGTTGAATGAGTTTTGGCCCATTTTATGACCTTTCTTGCCATAGTGGTTAAGTGGTTAAGTGAATTGCTGCGGGTGATAAGTTGGTAACCTGGTTGTTAAGTGAATCTGACTTCCCCCTTGACTTTGGTTATCAAAAGGGGATCACGTGACTTGGGGCACAGCAATGGTCATGAGCGTGAACCAGTTGCCAAGCATCTAAATTTTGATTACATGATCATGGGGATGCCACAAAGGTGGCAAATGGTCATGAGTCACTTCTGTGCCGGTGTAACTTTGAACGGTCACCAAATGAACCGTTGTAAGTCAAGGAATACTTGTATAGGAAAATCATTGATCAGGTGTGGGAGACTGATTTTAGAAAGGGGGGGCAGGGAGAAGTTTCCTCTTCAGCCATTTGGATGGTACTTTTATGGAAAGGAAGAGAAAATGCAGACCTATTAACATTCTCACTCCAAAAGAAAGGAAGCAAAACCTTTTTTGTAATGTATTGAATACTTATTAATCAATACTAATTCACTGAACCCACTACAAGTAACAGAAACACAAATAACCCCCAAGCAGCCTGATAGGAGCAAACTAGTGGCTTACCAGCTTTGGATTAGATATACCTGCCCAGTTAAAGGCCTAGTTTAATTATGCTCCCAAATCAAAAGCTTCAGCCATGCTGCGCAAATAGCAGGGACAATTTCTTGCTTGTCTTAGGAAAAAGGGAGGGGAGTTGGAGAGATTATTTGCAACACTTAATTGTGCTGGTTAATTTAATCCTGTAAAGTAAAACGTGACCATGAAATAGCCCAATAGAGCTTCAGTTAAGTAAGGAAAACTAATGCTGGGCCAGTTTCTTGGCAATTGAAAAAGCAAATATTTGCAGCCATAGTCTAAAATAAATTTAGGAGAAATTGTTTCAGTCTAGGCACCTCTCATTTTCTAAATTTATCACAGTTTATTGATCATTGTTACTATATTTGAGGGTTGCTGACAAGAGGTTTTTTTTTTAATAGAATGAGTCAGATACCCCTAGGGAGAGATCAGAAGAAATTTTTAAGAGTTGCAGTGAAACATGTTCTAAATTTGTCCTGAGTTGGAATTTGGCTGAGGCAGGATATTTTTTATCAGAAAATTTTGATCCTGTGAATCTCAAGGAAGTAGACAGGATTCTAACAGTTGCCAGTGCAGTAATCGGTGGGACAGACCCAGGTCTTGGCTGATTAAGGTTGTGGTTCAGCCCAGTGCATTTTTGAATGAGGGAACAGTACCTCCTGCCTTGAAAAAGGCAATAGCACTTTGATTTATATACTGCTTCACAGTGCTTTACAGCCCTCTCTAAGTGGTTTACAGAGTCAGCATATTGTCCTCAACAGTCTAGATCCTCATTTTATTGAATCTCAGAAGCTGAGTCAACCTTGAGCCTGGTGAGATTCAAAGTAGCAAATTGCAGGCAGTCGGCAGGCAGCAGAAGTAGCCTGCAGTACTGCACTCTAACCATTGCACCATCCTGGCTCTTGGTGCATCCCTTTCTGAAGAAGTTATCACTGGATCCAATAGTATTGGATAATTTCTAATTAGTCTTTAACCTTAACTTTTGAGAAGTAATGGAGTGCAGCTCTAAAGGACCTTGGAGGAAAGCACATTATGCAAGGTTTAGACATGGTTATAGCACTGAAACAATATTGATAGTGTATACTCTGGTGGAAGTGGGGGTAGCAGTGATGCAACTCTCCTGATTATTCTGGATCTTTCCATGCATTTCAATACTATTATTTATGGTATTTAAAGAATACCATATTAGGTATTAGAGCAGGGGTGGGCAAACTTTTTGGCTCGGGGGCCGCATTGACTTTTAAAATTTGACAGACGGGCCGGGTCAGCACAAGATTTTTTGGGAATCACCCCCCCTCCTCTCCTCCTTCCCCCCCTTCTCCTCCTTCCCCTCCCCTCGGAGGCCCCCTGAGTCAGGAGTTGCTACCGCCGGCGCGGCTCCGCACGGCTCCACTCCCGCGTTGCCTCGGGAAGGGAAAGGCAAAAAGGAAGAGCCGCGGCAGTGCTTTGCAACGGGAGCAGCGGTACCGGAGGTTCAGGCTCAGCGGCTCCTGGTTTTGCCTTTTCCTTCCCAAGGCAACGCGGGACTGGAGCTGCGCGGAGCTGCGCCGGCGGTAGCAACTCCTGACAGCCCCAGCCGGACACCTGAGCGGAGCCCGGGCGAAACTGCCTCTTGCTGCTGCCAGAGCACCGCCGGGTCGCCTCCTCCAAGCAGCCTGCCCGCCCACCGGGCTTCACCTCTGCCGCGCGGCTCGGAGCCAGGCGCGAGCGCCCGCGAGTTAAAATGAAGCCGAAAGTTGCTGGGAAGTTGCTCGGGTGCTGGGAGCAGGCTTTTAAAGTGCCGCCCGAGCAGGACCGCCGAGCCAGGAAACGGGGCACCAAGGCAGGGCAAAGCTCCACCAGCAGCGGCCTAGCTTTAGGTGGCTCCAAGCAGCCCGCCCTGCCCGCCGGGTGGAACCCTTCCCGCTCCTCGGCAGGAAGACGCTCCAGCCTGCAAGCTTTGCCTTTGCAAAGTTTAAGCCTGGAAGCCCCGGAAAAAAAAGGGGGATCGGTGGGGACTCACCTTCGGAGAGGTCACACTCGAAGGTGATTTCGAACTCCCAGCTGAGGCCTTTGCAAATTTCTTTTCTTTCCTACCCCTAGATCGCTCCGCACTGTTTTGCAGCTTTGGGGGCCACGCGGCACAGGGCAATTACGCCACGCCCAGCGATTTTTTTTCAGGGGCGGGCCGCATTGGACAGACCAATGGCAGCGATTTTTTTTCAGAGGCGGGCCGCATTGGACAGACCAACGGGCCTGATGTGGCCCGCGGGCCGTAGTTTGCCCACCCCTGTATTAGAGGATAGGGAATGGAGACATTAAGTTGCAATGGTTTTCTTCCTTTCTCAATCTATAATCAGTTCCAGTTGATGTTGGTGGAGGGAGATTGAAACTGAAGTCCTTTGTGTGATTCTTCGGGTCTCAGCTTTTTTCTCACTCATGTTTAACATTTATGTGAGGCTGGTGGGTGAGACTATCCATTGACATAGGGTCAGTATCCATATTGCATGTATGATAATCAGTTCTGTATCTCAATCCCAGAGTGACCAAGTGGTGCTGTTGAGGTTCTGTCTTACAGCCTGTAAGATGTTAGTCTAGTTGGGGAGAAACAACTGAATTGTAGCAAGACCAAGTGGCAGTGAATTCAAGAATCTGTTATTTCTGGTGGCTTTCTAGCTCTAGATAGGGATTTTCCTGGACAAAATCAATAAAGAATTTGAAGTCCTTGTGGATTCTCAGTTGATCAAAGAATAAATTGTAACCATAGCTGAGAGAACTTTTGCATAGATCTGCTTGTGCATCAGTTGCACCCTTTACTGGAATAGAAAGCTCTTTTTATAGTCACTTATGTTTTTTCACCTTTGAACTGGGCTAATGGACATAATATGAGATACCCTTGAAGACCACTTAGAAGCTACAGCTCATCCAGATTGTGGTGGCATGCCTAGATTTCAGTGTATCTTGTTTCACGCATATGTAGATACCCCTTCTTTGTGAGCTGCACTATCTGGATACCAATTGACTTCCAATTGCAATTCAGGGTGCATCTGTTAAGCCTTTTCTAGCTTGTGGACTAGATATTTATGAGAAATAATTGTTTCCAATAATTTTATGCCAATGCTATAAAATCTGGCAGGTTGATATGTTCCTGATCCCATCAACAAAGCAGTGTCATCTTAGGAGATTTCAAGCCTTCTCAGCCACTGGTGTATACTCTCCTTAATCTTATTGCCTCTTTGGAAAACCTTAAACTCTTGGCTTTTCTAGAGTCTTTAGAGCCATTCATAAAACTTATATTAAAGGTAAAGATTCCCCTTGCACATATGTGCTAGTCGTTTCTGGCTCTAGGGGGCGGTGCTTATCTCTATTACAAAGCCGAAGAGGCAGCGCTGTCTGAAGACATCTCCATGGTCATGTGGCTGGCATGACTAAACCCCAAAGGCACACAGAATGGTGTTACCTTCCCACCAAAATGGCCCCTATTTTTCTACTTGCATTTTTTATGTGCTTTTGAATTGCTAGGTTGGCAGGAGCCGGGACAAGTAACGGGAGCTCACTCCGTTATGCTGTGCTAAGGATTCAAACTGCCGACCTTTCTAATCAACCAGCTCAGTGTCTTAGCCTGACTTATATTAGCATCATATTATTTTGATTTTATGTATGTTTTGGCTTTTTTCTGTATATTTAATTCTATATGTACTTTTGTAATGTTTGATTTATAATTTTCCTTCTGGTTAGTTTTTATAATTGCTTGATAATGAGATAGGTGGCATACAAATTTAATAAGTAAGCAAACAAATGTTTTGAATGCATTTTGCCTGTTCTGATTAGGCAGCTTATAAATTGAATAAATATATTAATTAAATATTTATTATATAGGTGCATTTAATTTTATAGTTTATGCTGCAACCTGATTCTACAGTTGTTGACATTCATTTTTTTCTCATTAATTCCATTTTCTCATTGTATTCCATAATGACAAAGTAAAAACAAAATTTTAGAAATGTCTGTAAATTTATTAAAAAGAAGAAAAAACTGAAATATCACATTGGCGTAAATATTCAGACCCTTCGCTCAGTACTTTATTGAAGCGCCTTGGCAAGTCCTCGACCCTGACTTAAAAAAAAAAAAAGTGCCCGCAGTTCTGCTTCTACTTGTCCCGCAGGGAGACCATGAAGCTCAGAAGGGAAGCCCCAGAACACAAGGGCATCTGTGCGCTGCCATTTTTCTCTGCGCCGCTCCGCCTTTTCCTTTGGCTTTGGCTCCAGGTTCCACATCCTCAGGGCAGCCCCGCCTGGTGGTCCAGTCACCGAGGAGAGAAGTAGAACTGATCCAGTCTCCCATCGTCTCTACTACTACGGCATCTGCACACTGCCAGTTTTCTCTGCGCTGCGCTGCCTTTTCTTTCACCTTTGGTTCCGGGTTCCGCATCCTCGGGGCAGCCCTGCCTGCTCAACAGCCAGCCCGTCACCGAGGAGAGAAGCGGAACTGGTCCAGACTCCCATTGTCTCTACTACTATGGCATCTGCGCTCTGCCATTTTTCTCTGAGCCTCGCCGCCTTTTCCTTCAGCTTTGGCTCTGGGTTCCGCATCCTCGGGGCAGCCCTGCCTGGTGGTCCAGTCACCGAGGAGAGAAGCGGAACTGGTCCAGACTCCCGTCGTCTCTACTACTACGGCATCTGCGCGCTGCCATTTTTCTCTGCGCCGTGCCGCCTTTTCCTTCGCCTTTGGCTCCGGGTTCCACATCCTCGGGGCAGCTCCGCCTGCTCAACGGCCAGCCCGTCACCGAGGAGAGAAGCGGAACTGGTCCAGAATCCCCAAATTCCTTGTAAATCCTCTCAAGTTCAGTCAGGTTGGATAGCGACCATTGGTGGGCAGCCGTTTTCAGATCTCTCCAGTGATGTTCAATAGAGTTCAAATCAGAGCTCTGGCTGGGCCACTCTAGGACATTCATCATGTTGTCCCTAAGCCACTGTTGTGTGGTCTTAGCTGGGTGCTTAATAATCATTGTCATGTTGAAAAATGAACTTTTGGCCCAGTCTGAGGTCCTGAGTGCTGTGCAACAGGTTTCCATTAAGGATATCCATGTACTTTGCTCCATTCAGCTTTCCCTCAACCTTGACCAGTCTCCCAGTTGCTGCTGCTGAAAAATACCCCCACAGCATGATGCTACTACCAACAGGCTTCAGTGTTGGGTTGATACAGGGCAGGTGATGAGTGGTACCTGGTTTGCTCCAGACATAATGTTTAGAATTGAAGCCAAACAGTTCAATCTTGGTTTCATCAGATTAGAAAATCTTATTCCTCACAGTCTGAGAGTCCTTCAGGTGTTTTTTTTTTGCAAACTCCAAGCGGGCTTTCATGTGTTTTGTACCGAGGAGAGGCTTCCGTCTAGCCACTCTTGCCACAAAGCTCAGATCGGTGGAAGACTGCAGTGATGGATGTCCTTCTGAAACTCTGTCCCGTTTCCACACAGGATCTCTGGAGCTCAGTCAGAGTGACCATTGGGCTCTTGCTCACTTCTCTTACTAAGCCCTTCTCCCCCGATTGCTCAGTTTGACTGGGTGACCAGCTCTTGAAAGAATCCTGGTTGTGTCAAACTTCTTCCATTTGAGGATTATGGAAGCCGCAGTGCTGTTAGGAATCTTCAGTGCAACAGAATTTTTATTGTAGTCTTCCCCAGATCTGTGCCTGACAAAAAACCTGTCTCTGAGCTCTGCAAGGCAGTTCCTTTGACCTCATGGCTTTTGCTCTGCTACAGTATGCATTGTCAGCTGTGACGCCTTCTATAGAGAGCTGTGTGCCTTTCCAAATTATGTCCAATCCGTACCACAGGTGGACTCCAATCAAGGTGGAGAAACATGGCAGCAATGATCAAGAGAAATGGGAGGCATCTGGGCTATATGTCAAGTGTAGTTGCAAAGGGTCTGAATACTTAAGCCAGGGTCCCCAAACTTTGCAACTTTTAGATTAAGCTGGCTGGAGAATTCTGGGAGTTGAAGTCCACAAGTCTTGAAGTTGCCAAGTTTGAAGACCTCTGACTTAAGCCAATGTGATATTTCAGTTTTTTTTTTCTTTTTAATAAATTTACAGACATCTTTGAAATTCTGTTTTTACTTTGTCTTTCTGGGGTACTGAGTGTAGATTAATGAGAAAAAAATGAATTTTAACAACTGTAGAATCGGCCTGCAGCAAAGTGAAGGGATCTGAATATTTTCTGAATGCACTGGATATTGAATACTGGAATAACTTAAATTATAAAGTAATACATAGAACCCCCAAAGCTATTGGTTAAAAACTGGTATTTAAAATGTATGCAGTTGGAATAAACTACAGCAGTAGAGTGCTAAGTTATTGTAATGATGTGGCTTGAGCGTGGACAGTCATGTTTTGGATTAACTAAATCTAAATTTCTTTTCAGAGACAGTAATATGTTGAAGTTATATGACAGTTAATTAAGTTGAGACATTATGCTACCTTGTTGACAACTAGGCCATTAGTTAAATCTGATGAAACACTTTATTTTCCATGGCTATCATCTGATAATTCAGTAGCTAGGCCGGATCCAAGAGTTTCCTTGTATTCTTTTATCTCAGAAGCAATTAGTTAATATTTGCATATTTTTTTGTCCTTGAGCAACTCCATGTTATCTGGATTGAATTTTGGTCTATTTATGCTCATCTAATTTATTTTAAATATATATGAGTTAGGTATTAATTGGATATGGCTAATAAGAGGTTTAATTAAACAACATAATTTCTCTAGAAATGCTTTTGGAGTATTCTCAATGAATGGGAAATAAAACTTTTCAGGTACTGGATTTTACCGTTCAGAACTTAATTTTGTTATAGAAGATACTGAGTTATGTCATAAACTGCTATAGTTCTTTGTCCTAATGAAGAATATTAATAATGATTCAAACAGACAGACATTTTTATGAGGTTTCATGTTGATTAGATGCATTTTTAAAATTACTACCAAACAGGAATATTTTTACCTCTGAAGACGATGCTAGGACCAAAATATGATGATAAAGTTGCTGAAGAATATCGTTTCCATCCCTCTATGTTATCCAACTATTTAAAGAGTCTCAAGGTAAAGAATATAATTCAATTCTTTAGTATCTAAATACTAAAGGTTTTTTTTTACTACTTTACTACTTTGTTGTTTTTTCTCTGAGCATGCCTACTTTAGAAATATCTTCCCAATATATTTATGGATATGGTGGTATACATGTCTGTTTGTCTGTATGTTTGTTTAAAAAATAAAAGGAAACAACGAACACATCAAAAGATGAAAACATTGGACAGCAAAGTTAAAACATTTAAGTTAACAACAAAGCGAATCAACACGATGCTTATTTCCCGTGGACAAAACTGTATCTAGGACAACTAAGAGAATGTAATTTTTCCGCCCTACTGCTATTTTCTGTGTACCTCTCCCCAAAATTGGTTTCAGAGGATTCTCCTAACACTAAAGCAGGAGGGGAGTATATGGGTAGCAGGAGAGGAAACCACACTTTCTCTTGACAAAGGCAGTTTTGGAAACAGGAGCAAAGCATTGGACTCTCCATCCTTTCTCTTGCAAATTCTGCATATGAGGCTTTCAATGATACAAGTTGGGATATACATAGCCATGGTATTTTCACGGTGTATGTATAACATCAGAAAAGGTACTTCTGAATATTAACCATTAGAGTTACGCATGTTCATCATAAACTGGTTATCACATTTAAAGCCTTTTATGGCACAGGGCCAGGTTATTTGCAGGACCGCAGGACCTACCCGTCCTTCCAAATCAGATAGGGTGGGTACGCTCCTAATCCCCTAATAAGGGCTAGTGTTGACCAGGAATTTAATGTTTTTATTGACAGTTCTGAGGAAGCATATGTGCCAATGTCATCAGTGACTCTGCAGGCCTTCAAGGCCATGGAAAGTTCCTCGGGAAACACAGTGTCCTTGCAAGACCTCCAAGGGCGGCAGATTACTTACTTCTTCCTCTTATCTAAAGTGTGCCAGTTTGTCTGGGTGGAATATGCCGGTGCTTCTGGATGGAGAAGTGAACAGTGTAACAAGCATATAAATATGTCAAAATGTGTTCAAGTTTCCCTCTTGCTAAGCCCCTCCCCCCTCCGGTCTTTATTCAACTGAATAAACATGTAAAAAGCTTATCAAGGTAAACACCTGGACTCTGTCTTTCTTTATACCAAGCCACACCTAAAACCAGCAAAACACTAGGAAGCATGCCTTTTCTGTGGCAGCCCCTGCCCTGCCTGTTTGGTTCATCAGGCTTCTACCCTCCTAGCTCTCCAAAAATCACCGAAGACTTGGCTTTTCTCCCAGGCACTGGGATAATTGGACAATTGCACATTAGGAGTTGACTTGGCACCAGGTCTTTGTTGTTTTAACTTTCAGTTGAGAACTGCTAAGAGTTGTCTAGAATAGATGCACAGCTATACACACATTTTAAATAAATAAACTACCTAAAGTTATGTTCACCTTATGTGTAACTTCACATATCTGTATTAAACTCTAATTTTATTACTTTCAGGTTAAAATGGGTCTGTTAATAGACTTGACAAACACCAATAGGTTCTATGACAGAAGTGAAGTAGAAAAAGATGGCATCGTATATGTAAAGCTTCAATGTAAAGGGTAAGCTAATGAGACTCCTGAATATTTTTTTATGGAGGAAAATTCTTGCCTTTACTTAACGCTTCTCTTTTTGGTAGGCATGGAGAGTGCCCCACGCCTGAAAACACAGAAACATTCATTCGTATATGTGAACAGTTTCATAGTAAGAACCCAACAGAACTTATAGGTATGTATATTAACCTTGCTGTGTGACTATTTTCCGTCTGTCTTGGGTGTTTTTCCATGTAATATACTAATGCTCCATTTGCCACTTTCTACTGTAGTTGCACATAAACATTTCACGACTTAATCCAGCCAGCATCGAATCATGATAGCAAGCAGTAGAACCAAAAAAACCAAAATAGGATGAAATACCAGCATGTTGGAAATAAGCATTCCTGATGATGTTTGTAAAAAGGAGCAAGCCTGAATGACTGCCATGAACTGTATTTAATTTTCCATTCATCTAGATAAGTCACACAGTACTTGCTATCGCCAATGTCTTGCTGAATAGGGAAGCATCAAGATGAAATCAAAGCTGAAATCTAAATAATTTAATCAGCCCTATTGTAGGGAGTCATAGAAGTGATCATGTTGTCCAGAAGCGATTAGGACAACAGTTATAGAAGAAGCATGCATGAAGACGGTGATGGGGGAAGTATTAGAAAGAGGCACTGGCTCCACCCTGACCCTTGGAAGAAGAAGAGGGAGCGAAGGGAAAACTCAAGTAGACTTGCTAGATTCTGTTACTGTAACCTATCTTAATAAAGTGTAGCTCTAGTTGTACTGTAGAATCAGTTTCTTCATCGTCTGTCTCATAGGGCTGAAACATACATCAACTTTAAGATTTATTACAGGTCTTTTTCATCACTTGATTATACTGGACGTGTACAAGAACTAAAGTTAACAACGTTATGTAATGGTCTGGAATAAATGTTATGATGGAAATGATTCATTAGATTGCATACTCTTTTCTAATATTAATTCCTTTCTTTAACTTAACTGCATTCATGGCAGTGCAATGCCGAATGCTGATTGACATTGCTAAGCAGTGGGGTCTCATGGTTTCTTCTACATACAATCATATTACTTAACAAAGTTTCTGGTCCCAATTAACATAGTTAAACAAGAACTATATGTCATTTTACTTACATACCACACAATTTCTATACATGATTATATACAAGTGACTAGCTTGAAGAAAGGCCAAAATGATTGTATCAGTTGCCTATTAAATTAATTTAATTACCCGTACACAAGAATGTTTATTCTTAATATTTGAACATGCTATTTAATGCATTCTAATCTGCATTCTAATTTCAATTGTGAAGTCTAGACCAGAGACGTTAACTATTTTAAGGAAACTTGTTTTTTATACATATCAACAGTTGCATATATGTATATCTTTTATTTTTTATAAGTAACTCAAGGCAGTGAACATACTGAGTACTGCTTCCTTCTTCTATTCTCCCTGCAACAACAACCTTGTGAAGTGGGACTGAGAAATCATGACTGGCTCAAAGTTACCCAGTTGGCTTTCATGTCTTAAGGCGGGACTAGAATTCACTGTCTCCCACTTTTTTGGTACCTTAACCACTAGACCAAACATTCTCTCTACAAATATATAATATTTTATAATTGCTTGTGTATAAATTAAGATTCAAATTAAATATATATGAGTATACAATCATTCATTTTTACTTTCATTATACAACTTTATTAGTCTCTACTATTAGCTGAAACACAACCAACAGAAATAAAGGATTTTTTTTAATCCGTGGAAGCAGCAAGATTAACACATAAAACCCCCTCAGAGTTTCCTTTTCAGTTGTCTCAATTTGGATTGTTAAATGCATTTGTCAAATTCCAAATGATTACTACATTTGAATATAAATAAACTATTTTCTTTCAACTGAAAATAAAATGTACTCTTTCTATTTTACCGGGGAAAACCTAGGTTAAACCTTATATTAGTTTTTTAATTTAGTCTTCCATGTGTATTGCTTTATTTAGCATATACATTGTATTAAAATAACTAATGAAGACCAATAAAATTTGACAAAGAAGCATCAATAATCCTTCAAGCTCTACTGATGAAAGTCAAGGGACAGAGGAAAAATAGCACTATAATTAAATATAAAGAAGACCAAGCTAATGACAAGCTCAGTGTTCGAATAGAAAAAATTGAAGTGATGGATAGTTCTGTCTTTTAGGATTGGCTAGCAATGTGAAGGAACAAGAAATCAAAAAGTATGGTTGACTAGCATTTAATGTGAGGTAGCACTAAAAGCCTTAGAAAATGTATATGGATATCCTCGATACTCACAAAGATTGGCATCAGGCAAACAACACTTCTCTCCTTGTGGAAGTAAAAGATGAAGAAACCTGATACTGTGAGATCCTTTTCAACTTTATTGTTAGAGAAGACTCTTGAAAATAGCACTCATAATCCAGAAAACAAACAGAACGAATCATGGGACAGTCCAGAGCTCTCACCCAAATGACTAGGTTAAAATTACCAAAACGTGGACATATTATGTGAAGGCCTAGCTCTCTGGGAAAGGTGGAAAGAAAGAAGATGACCAACAGCAAGGTGGATGGGTTCAGCTGAGTGCTTATCGAAAGACCTGCAGGGCCAGATTGGGAACAGGTCATCCTGAAGCAGATCTACCTCATGGCTAAAACTCAACACCAATTTCAAGGCACATAATCAAATTGAATCGAGTACAGATTTGGGAGTTTCAAAATTGATGAAAAATCTTAAATTATTCAAATATTGAAACATAATGAAATCCATGAAAGATGGTGTTCCCGAGCAAACTTATTTGCTCTAATGAGTTGCTGTCCAGAATAATTGCAACATATATTTGATGACTATTTCACTCCAACAGGCTCATTTGAATTTTACAAGGTGTGTGAACTGGATACTTTGATGTAATTTTTAAGAATTGCTTTTTTTCTTGGCCACTAGATGGAGACATTACCACAGAAATAAGGCAGATGAGTTTTTGGATTTTTTTTTAGTGCTACTGGTTCATTGTTTTAATTGAATCCAGTCTTTAGAATTTTCTTATAACAATTGCTGATGTACAGTCAGTTTTATGTCATATTAATATAGAAGCTAGTGAGTGAAAAATCCTATGAGAATAGGAGAGCCCTGAGGCCCATCTATTCCAGAAATACGGCCCTCAACAGTAACTGGTTTCTGGCAATAAGACTTAGGTGAAGCAGTAGCCTCATTTCAGCAATTGATATCAAGATGAAAGCATGTACTCTTTTGAATCCAGAATAGCTGCTGAATGTACTTTCTCCCCATAATCTGCCTGATGCTCTTTTTTGTGTGCTATATAGGCAACATATTTCATCAATTGTAAGTATTAACTAAGTGTTCTATGAATATATATATTTTTTTGCCTTACGTTGCGACAGTAGCATTTTGTCCCAGCCTTAATTGGGCTAAACAGCTTGTTGATGGCTAGTGTCTTTATGTGCTATGGCACATCCTGAAATATTAAGTAATCATGTTTGGTCATAAAATCAAAACTGACAGTAAATTACAAAAGGTAGAGGGAAGAAGAAGCTAATGTGCCAGGAAAGAATTTTCCTCTCCAGATCCTTATGTAAAAGAAAATGGCGGTGGTGGTGGATGAGAACCAGAAAGTACAGGATAGGTTAGAAGTATATTTTCATTCAAAGGGATATGACAATTCAGCAAGTGTACTAGATTGTATTGAAAAAGCAGACTATAGTTCTGGCTTTCCCTCCTAAATGTATATTATGCAAAATATACGGAAGATCCCCCCCCCCCCAATTCTGATAGGAGTATTCTTAAGATGTATCCAGAAACCTACAGAATATTTTTTAACTTCATGTGTCCATTATCTATTGATATTTGCTGACACTTTTGAACTAGAGAATGATGATTGAAAAATGGTTGAAAAAATGCTTTCCATGTTCATAGGTTGCTCTCATGCCCTTAATCCCTAGTTTTGTTTTGAAATGTGCAAAACAAAGAACTGAAGTGTTTGCTTATTCAAGGAACCGTTTATGTGGTAGGCCCTGTTCACACTCCAATTTCCTCTTGCAGAGAAGGAAGGAAGAAGTAAATGGTATGAGAAGTGAATGAATGATCACATACGAGCTGAGGACTAATTCCCTTATAAGGGAAGTGATTATGACAAGCAAATGTTCCTGATGCTTTTAAGTGAGCTTGGCAATTGTAATTATATTTTTTTTTCAATTTTGTCTTCTAGGTGTTCACTGTACGCATGGTTTCAATCGTACTGGGTTTCTTATCTGTGCCTTTCTGGTTGAAAAGTTGGATTGGAGGTAATTTTTTAAATAAAAAATAACTCTTGGGCAATATTATAGCAACAATAGCATAATTGCATTATTGTACATATGTCATCAATGTCATGGATAATTTTTGCTTCATCTTGTTAGTGGGGTATACAAATTAAAGTGGCTATAAAACATATAAAAGGAGACCCTGTGGATTTTACTCTGCTAGCCATTGCTGACTATAGGGGGCAGTACTCATCTCTGTTTCAAGGGCATTGAGCCAGGGCTGTCCGTGGTCATGTGGCCAACATGACATCACTGAGTGCTGTGGAAGTGGTACCTGTTTATCTACTCGCATTTGCATGGTTTTGAAATGCTAGGTTGGCAGGAGCTGAGGTGAGGACAGGATCTTACACTGTTGTGTGGTGCTTGGGTCTCAAACCTGGGCTGCCAGCTTTCCAGCTGACAAGACGAGTGTCTTAACCACTGAACCACCGCCCTGCCCCATAAAACATAGTATTTCGTGTTATATAATATCTGCCAACTTTCCAGTATATCATCAAGAAGGCAAAATAATATTGCTAAGTATTCTTTGATGGATTTTATTACTGCCAGATAGAAATATTTCAGTTAATTTGTTTCAAGACTGATCGGGATTTTTAGAAAAAGTTTGACCTCTTTCAGATGTTCTGAAGGTAATTAATTTTGACTTGATCTCTGTTTTTGGTCTGAAATTTGTGGGGGGAAAATCTCCTTTTTCCTTAGTCTAGAATTATCATTGTTGTTATTAACTTTGTGTGCTACAAAGCTTGATCAGATTCATGGTGGCTTACAACTTTTTTTTTTTTGGTTTTCTAACACCTGTATGAATTTTATGAGCTATTCATAAACATTGTCATACAGCAGGAGAGTGAGTGACAGTATAATGAACAAGTGATAAAACTAAACATCAGCTTCTCTTTCCCTTCCAGAAATGCTGCTGTTAGAGCAATAAATGTTTAACAGAAAAGCAGACCTGTCAAAAAACATAAATATTTCTACGTTTTCTTCTCTCTAATCTATACAGGTAGTTCTTGACTTACAACCACAATTGAGCCCAAAATTTTTGTTGCTAAGTGAGACAGTTAAGAGTTTTGCCCCATTTTACAACCTTTCCTGCCATTAAATAAATCACTGGTTATTAAATGAATCTGGGTTCCCCCTTGACTTTGCTTGTCAGAAGGTTGCAGAAAGTGATCACATGATCTGGGGAAACTGCAACTATGACAAAAATGAGCATCTGAATTTTGATCACGTGACCACAGGGATGCTGAACGTTCAGAAGTGTGAAAAACAGTCATAAGTCACTGTTTTCAGTGCTGTTTTAACTTTAAATGGTCACTAAATGAACTATTGTAAGTTGAGGACTACCTGTAGTTTTATACATGTAGCATTTTTTCTTTCTTTTCTAGAGAGAGGCCTTAGTTGCTACCGGAGTGGGATTCAAAATTTTTAACAACCAGTTCTGTGGGTGTGGCTTAGGTGGTGGGCGTGGCTTGGTGGTCATGTGACTGGGTGGACATTGCTTGGTGGTCATGTTATTGGCTGGGTGTGACCAACTCAATATCACTTATATCGAGGCACACATCTCCTCGCCTGGCCTCTCATGACTGTGGGGATGCTGCAACAGTCGTAAGTGTGAAAAATGGTCATAAGTCACTTTTTTCAGTGCCATTGTAACTTTAAATGGTCATTCCACACAAGCAAAGTAGCAGCAAAGGAGGGGGGGAAAACTCCAGAGAAGTTCCTGATACAGGAAGTCTAGTCCTGCCAAGAATGTAATAAGGGTTAACGGAGAGGCAGTTTCTGTAAGCAACACCAGAATGTTTCCTTCCTGCCTTCCTTACAGGATTAGGCCAGTACTTTCTTCTAACAACTGGTTCTCTGAACTGCTTAGAATGTTAACAACCTATTCTAGTGAATAGGTGCGAACTGGTAGAATCCCACCCCTGGTTGCTACCCTAGCAAAGTTCTGGAAAAACAGATCAACAATGAAATTCACAGTACAGTGGTAGAGCTTGAGTATGTGTCAGGCCTGTCCATTTCATTCAGTGAAAAAAATTAATAGAATCATTTTGCTTTAGTCTGATAATTTGAATTTTGGCCCGATCTAACATATCCTGTAGATTTTAGAAAATAGACTTTTGTAACTTTTTGGACTTTATGAACTCTATATTGTTTCTTCGTTGTACTTCTTTTAAGCAAGCAAAGCATCAAAAAAGCTGAACCCCCACACCTCCCTGCATAAGGTTAAAATAAAGTAAAACAAAGAAAAGCACATTTAAATAACTCTCAGCCTGCAACAATGTAGATAAGATTTTAAGGAGAAATGCAAGTATTTACATATCTATAAGAAGTATTCAAGATCCAGTTGGATGTAGTGGTGAGTGTATCAGGGTAGGAATTAGCAGACCCGGAGTTCTAGTCCTGCCTTAGGCCCTAAGCTAGCTACCTGACCTTCCTTTGAAAGGAGTGCATTGCAATGTTTGGGATTGTGTAAGAGGTACTTCTTCTTTGAATCATTAAGTCAGCCAGATCTTTTTCTGGGCTTGTGCAGCTGCTGCTTGTGGCATATTAAATATTAATGTGCTTTATTTTGGCGTAATGGAGTGGAGGATATTTCATCAGAAATTTGAAGTATAATACTAAATTGGCAGGCATATAATTGGAGGGGAAGGAAGGGTGAAAATTGACATTACATGAGAAAGAAGAGTTGACTGTTTTTAACACTGGCTGCATGACAGATTGTAGAAGGAAGCAAGGCCAGTTCTGCATGTGCATATGCTTTCATAACTGCATCATTAGCATGATAAAAGATGTGGCTGCTTTAAAGATTCGAAGAGAGATGCTTATTATGCCCTCATGCTTGAAAATAACCTCTTCTAAAGAATAGCTGACATTAACAGACCCTCTGCTGAGCAAATTGGTTATTCCAGGGTGACCAGTTTTTGTAAAAAGGGTAATCTTACATATACGCAGGGATAAATCTATTTTATTCAAGAGCTAAACATAATCTGTTCCCTATATGTGATATAGAAAGGTGAAAGATTTGAAAATACTGCATCTGCATCTAACAATGCTTTAAAAAAAACCGTCCAGAGATGGTGGTAATTAGTATTAGCAGTGTGGCTTGGGTACACAGTTGTATACACTGAAATAGTTCAAGATCATTGAAACATGTAATTTGAAGACTATATCAAGGAAAATTTAGGATATTAGGAATACGGTTTCTTTGTCATGTGCTCAGGTGAATTGGAAGGTTCTTGAAGAACCTATATTAGTTCTCTCCAATAATTAAACGTTGAATGCTGCACGCCAGCAGTAACTGTTTTTTTATGTTCTTACATTTTTTCACACTTCAGTAGTGTCTAGACACCTGTTAATAATATTTTACAGTAGCTCCTGTAATAGTTACAGTTTGTGTTTAATTAAATTTTCTCCTTTTTTGGCATCTTCAAGAAATCCCCATTTCTCAAAAAAAATGTCATTGCTTAGTGCTGAAGATGGTCATCTTCTTTCATTTGGAATCACAAGTGGAGAGGTATCTTGTCTTTAGCAGACAATGAAAAAGTGACATCCTGCCCCTACTGTTTTTGGACAGTAGGCATAATTTTTGTGTGTTTGGGTTCGGTGGAGATCACCAGATTCCATTTTTTTTTTTGGTATGTATGTCTTTTATGTACTAAATCCTTCCTGCTTAATATTCTGTTATGATTTTAAGCATTCAAAGGTATCTTGTGGCTTTGCTTTGGTGAATATTTCAATGGACTTTATGCTTACTATATTTAGAATTAAAGTTTTATCATTTAGCTGTCTATGTGCCTTTTATGCCACTGAGGGGAGATGCTTCTCCTGATCAGAAAACTCTTTTATTGTGTTATTGTTAGACATTTTACTTGCATTATTTATATGCTGCCAGATTTTAGTTTTATGTTTCTAAAGTTCTCCAGATTATAACGTGAAAGCACTAAATACAATTATTTTGTATCTACTGTAGATACAATATTTTGGTTGGAACCATTTTCAATTGAGTAGCATACAAGATACGGTAGCTAAATGAATACATTAATAATTCTACTTCTTGTTCTTTTCTGCTCACCTTTACAAGGCAGAAGTGCTGACAATCTAGCAGATTGAAAGTATTTTCTAAAAATGGTGGAATCTAGGGGAAAATTGCTTCAAGATAATAGTTTAAAAGAATCATCACATTTTAAAGTCTCCTTTGTTACAGCGCTGTTTCAAATAGACATTTAGTGTTTATTTGCATTTATGAAAATACATTTCCTACATAATATTCTATTACCCTTTATTTCTTAGGCATGTGAATGTAGAAGAAATACAGATGCAAAATGCTGGTGTTGGTTTTATAGCTTATTTAAGGAAAAGAACAGCATACCAATAATTGTTTGGGGAGCTTTGTTGTATTTTCTTCTTTAGCAACTATTTTGCTTTTTTCCAAAGCATTTCCATGAAAATGCAAGGCTGTTTCTTTTGTAATTAAAACATAGTATTTATTGGCAATTACTTTTATAATTTTGCTCTCTATTTCCAACAAAAGTATACTATATTTTTAAAAAACTACTTAAGCATGTTAAGATTGAAACCCATGGAAATTTCCTAATATATTTTGGTTTCTCTTGATAGTGTCATACTTTCTTGACACATTATGAAAAATCTATTACAGTGGCAGGATATGTTGGGAGCCCAAGATTTAGTAATAACTAGTTAGGAATTATCTTTATTTATTTAAAAATATTTAGAACTTTTAAATATTTTCCCTGCTTTTGGGCAAGCATACTATCAAAGTGATTTGCCTACATAATCTTACACTTGGGTTTATCTATATAAAAATAAGGGGAAAATGTGTTTGAATATTAGTGGCTTGGCTTGGTAGTTAGGCTGCCAGTTTGAGCTCCAAGCTTGGCAATTTGGTTGCAAACATTTCATCACCATTCGAGGAGACATCATGAGTGCATTTTGAGTTGTGCCAGCTCAAGGAAAAAGGGAAAAAAGAATTGTGAAGGAGGATAGGAAAAAAACAAGCGTGATTTTCCTGTGTTTACCATTAAGAGTAAAGCTTCCTTTGACCAGAACTTAACTCCTGGTAAGCTTGTGTAGTTTTCTGAGCAGTGATACAGAAGTGGTTTGTCATAGCCTTCTTCCCAGATTTTGCTTTTTGTTTTTACTTTCCAGTTTAATCAACAGCCTAGGGATTTCTTAGTTCCTATCTGAATACAAACCCGGTTTATTTGTGCTTAGTTTTTCATGAATCAGCCAAGGTCAGCCACCTGTGATTCTTAAAATGTTATGATAGTCTGTTTTTTTTCTGCTGATGAATCTTCAGGGAGGATCAAAGGGAGCTACTTCTTGACAGAAGAAACAATTATTTTGTTTCTGTTGTTCTGCATCAGAGGTGGTATTCAGCAGGTTCTGACCAGTTCTGGAGAACCGGTAGCGGAAATTTTGATTAGTTTGGAGAACTGGCAAATACCACCTCTGACTGGAGATTTTACAGTATCCTTCCCCTGCCATGCCCACCAAGCCACGCCCGCAGAACGGGTAGTAAAAAAAATTGAATCCCACCACTGTTCTGAATGGTTGGTGGTAATTCATGATCTGTGCTTATCACTGAATTGCTCTGTGATCTCCATGATATTTTTGTAGGTCTTAATTTTCTGTGGTTTGGAAAAAGTTTTGAAATACAGTTTTTTATGTTTTTGTACAGATGCACTGTTAAGTTCTTTGTGCCACAGATCTTTCAGTTTCTGGTGAAACGTATGGACCCCTTCTCAATAAAATGTATTTAAATGCATAAAATTAAATGCATAGATATATATTGTATTACAGGTAACTCTTGGGTAATGACTATTCATTTACTGATCATTTGAAGTTACAACAGCACCATAGAATGGTATTTATGACTGGTTCTTGGAGTTCCAGATGTTGTGGTATCCTTGCAGACATATGGTTATGATCTGATTGTTTGACACCCAGCTCATGATCACAATTTCCATTGTTTCTTGCTGGCTCCCCACAAGCAAAGTCATTGGGGAAGCTGGCAGGAGGTCAGAAGTTGTGATCAGATGTGGTCTTCACTTAATGTCCCCTGCAGTCCTTAATTATGATGACAACCAAAATCGCCGGGTTGTAAGTTATGTGGTCACCCGATGGTTGCACTTTACGATCATTCTGCTTAGTGACAGAAATTCTGGTCCCAATTGCTCTCATAACTCGAAGGCTATTTATATAAAAGAAATGAGTTGTAATTATGGCTTGTCATGCTGCCAGCCAGATGTTTAGACTGGATTTGGCATTTTTATCCACTTATTGAGTCCTTCCCAAGAACCTGGGATAGGCAGATTTTTATTTGATGGTATTAAAGGATGGTGGTATTAGGGGAGTGATGCGGTGGCCAAGAGATGGAGCTCCCGCCTCACAATCCGGAGGCTGTGAATTCTATCCTAGGTAGAGACAGATATTTTTATTTATTTATTTAATTTATTTATTTTTGTCAATTGTTTACAAGATAATAGGTATAAGTAAAAAAAACATAGTTATGAATACATGATACATATAAGAAAAATAAAAAAATAAAAGAAACAATAGGACAGGGACGGTAGGCACATTGGTGCGCTTATGCAACCCCCTACAGACCTCTTAGGAAAGGGGTGAGGTCAATAGTAGACAGTCTAAGGTTAAAGTTTTTGGAGTTTGGGGAAGAAACTACAGAGTCAGGTAGAGTATTCCAGACATTGACCACTCTGAAGTCATATTTCTGTTTGGTGTGGTTAACCTTGAGTTTGTATCTATTGTTTGCTCTTGTGTTGTTATGGTTGAAGCTGAAGTATTCATTGACAGGTAGGACATTGCAATGTATGATTTTATATATTATACTTAGATTGGACCGAAGACGGCGTAGTTCTAAGTTTTCTAGGTCTAGAATTTCAAGTCTGGTGGCATAAGGTATTCTGCAACAAGTAGAGGAGTGGAGAACTCTTCTTGTGAAATATTTCTGGACTTTCTCAACTGTGTTAATATCAGATACGTAATGTGGGTTCCAGATTGATGAGCTGTATTCGAGTATTGGTCTAGCAAATGTTTTGTATGCTCTAGTTAGTAGTGTAATATTACCAGAGAAAAAGCTACTTAAGATTAGGTTAATAACTCTTAACACCTTTTTGGCTATGTAGTTACAGTGGGCTTCTCTCTCTGGGCACACTGAGAATTTATCTGCTGAACAAAATTCCGCATTGGTGACAGGAAGGGCATTCGGCCATTAAAACACTCTGCTAGGTCCATTCAGTTGCCCAGACTACACCCCACAAGGTATTATGGGGTTGTTAAATGAAGAAGAAGAAGATGATGATTAAAAGTATCATCGGATGTAAGCTGTTCCAAGTAAAGCTGCCTTTTGCAATTATTATTAATTCCTCGTTTTTATCTTGTTTATTTCTTGTAAGCTGCTCAGAGTCTCATTGTTAATTAATTAATTAAATATATATGCTGCTCAATTCTCAGCAACTCCAGTTTGCAAATTATTTAGTTATGTATTGTTCAAGTTGGGTAGCCAAGCAATTAAATAAATAAAACTCAAATGTAGATATGAAAATGTTACAATAATAACAAATATCTGCTTTAGTAATATTGTGTGCTTTTTTTACTCCATTAAATCAATAACAAGGGCACACGCTTGTAAATAACAATTTTAGATACCTATATTTTATTGAAGTTAAGAAACATTTTTGGAGTCTGCAGCCCGTAAATTGCTTTGTTGTCTGTATTGAATGGAACACTTAAGTTTTAGTTAAAGGTTAGTCAAAATAAAATAGTATTTTTTTGCTATCCAGGTTCATGGGTCCCATGACATCTATTCAGGGCCTTCAGGGAAGCCTTGGTTAAGACCCTTTCAATATATCCTTGGCAAGTGTAATAAGAACTGCTGTGAGATTTTATGGGAGCCCGTTTGGAATATTTGATGCTGAGTCTTGGATCTGCTACTGCTCTGTCCTCTTGGTTTTTTGGAGCCATTTCTGAATTTTTCTTTTCATGCCTACATTGTCACACACAAGGTCACTTTTTTTTTTTTTTTTGCAGTATTGAAGCTTCTGTGGCTCTTTTTGCTCAAGCCAGACCGCCTGGCATCTACAAAGGTGACTATTTGAAAGAACTCTTCCGTCGTTACGGAGATGTGGCTGATACACCAGCACCACCTCCTTTGCCAGAATGGTGCTTGGAGGAAGATGAGGAAGACGGGGATGAAGATAACTGCAAACTGGGAACTCTAGAATCAGAAGCTTGCTCGTCAACTTCCTTTCCTAGCAGAAGAAAAAAAGAACATTTAAAGCTGGTAATGATGAACTAGCGCATAATATAGCATGTTCTTGAACTCATTTTAAATATGTTATTGTAATTTCTTTTTTAAAAAAATATGTGCCTTCAAGTCAGTATTGATTCCTGGCAACTGCCTGGACTAGTCCCTGCAGTTTTCATGGTGTAATTGTTAAGGCACCAGGTTGGAAACCAAAACACTGTGAATTTTAGTATTGCTTTAGACATTAAGTCATCTGGATAACCTTGAGCCAGTTACTCTTTTTTGAACCCAGAAAGAAAACATTGGCAAGCCAGTTATGAAAATGTTATCAATATTTAGAGCATGCTAAATTTAAGCGATTCAGAACCTGATAAATTACCCACAATTTCATAACCTTAGCATTCTCATTTCCTCATTGTACATGATGTACTGAAACCACATAGAGTTGCTGCTGAAATATAAAGTTAAAATAAGGAGTACCTCTCCTTTATAGAGTGCTGATAGAATACAAATAATGCAATTAACATACAAGATATCTATGTTGTTTAAGGTACCAAATTTGTACTCACCACACATTCTCTTAAACTAGCATTCATTTCATGCTTGGTAGAGCCAATACGGGAGATAAAATGGGATCTCATTTTGATAGAAGAAAAAAAAGTTAAAAGTTTTGAGCCCTTTGGTTTTGAAGCTCTAATAGTTTAGATCAGGAGTGTCAAATTTGCAGGCCATGGCTCAGATGCGTCATGTGCTGGCCATGCCCATGCCCGGTTTAGCGGAAGAGAAAAAGTCACGATACGTCAGGTGACAACGCCGTGACGACGTGAGTTTGACACCCCAGGTTTAAAGTGTAGTATTTTTCTGATGGTATTAGATAAGAAATCCCTGATCAGTAAAACACCTTAAGTTGCATACTGAATTTGGGATTCAGGATTGGAAGGCATCTAGTGAAATATTAATTTAGTTAATAAAATATACTGCCAAACTCCAAACAACTCTGGGTAGCTTCCAGTAAAGTACCATAGTATAAAAAGAAAAAGATCAGGCACATCCAGAAGGAAAAAACACAATATATCAAAGAAAAAGGACTTAATAATAAGTCTATCCCCGGGCATGAGAAAGCAGCCAAATTCTCAAAGAGTTTTGGAATATCATAAGAATGTTTCAAAACTTAGGATGTTCTACTGTTCGGTTGTTTGTCCTCCTTCGCTTCCCATATTCAGTGAGTTTTTTTTCCCTTTTCACTCTCTTTATCAGCCATAAATACTTTTTTAAAAAAGTTATAATAAATAAAAGGCTTGCTAAACTAATATTAAATTAATACAAATTTTGATTATAATTCTGCTGCTACTGTTATTTAATATTGCACAATTAAAAAGTAATGGTTTTAGTTACAGACATAATACTTTTCCATTTTGTTAAAATGAAGGAATATGGCAAGCGATAAAGAATTCTGAATGATAATGAAAAAATTGTTTTTTTAAAAATGAAGAATTAACTCTTAAAAGAATTAAGAGTGAATGTAATATTAAGTTATAACTGGCATTCTAGTAGCTTTTGTGTGATTTATTTTTGAAGAATAGAGCTTTGAGCTTTAACTTAATGAGCGAACTTTTTAGCTAGCCAAGATATTAAAATTTGAAGTGTTTATTAAATTAATATGCAAATTTCTTATAATTTTATATGTTTTATGTGATTTGTCAAGAAATAATGAGTATTAATAAATCTTTTTTTCCCCTAATTTTCTGCTAGACCTAAAAGATAGAATCTAAGGTACCATCATTAACCAGATGAAGAAGAGTAAGGTTTTAGATAATTCTGCAATCCTGATGTTTTGAAGAATACCTTAGCTATTTGTACTGTGGCGATAGTGAAGGTGGGGTGGAGTTGTGTTGAAGACTGTAAGGACATTGGATTCTGCCAGTTCTACCAAGAAAGGCTTTTAATTAACAAAGCATAATAATTGATTCGTACCTGGGGAGGAGAGAGGGATCTCACTCTGCCTCTGTCTGCCTCTACATCTATATCTATGCCACTGCCTCTTCCTATGTCTCTGTCTCTGTCTACATACACACACTTGAAGATCCCATGACACATTGGTCCGATTCCTCAATGCCTGACACATTCCTACCAGATTCCTCAATGCCTTCAACAGTGACAGAGCTTCCAATGTCCTGCCCTCACTCCAAAAGTATTTTTTCTCCAGTGAGACCGGTCTAGGAGGGCAACTTGGTCTACCCGGTTATGGGACAGAGCATACTGTTTCTGCTTTTGCTTTTCAGCACCAATCCAGGTGCCTTTGTAGGCAGTCGCTTTCATGACAAACTATTTTTGTGTTGAATTTATGTTTACCTTACTTCACTGCAAACGGTTTTAAAAGTTCAGGTATATATTTAGAGATGTATCTGCCTTGAAAATAGCCCATGTTGAACTGTATAGCATAGTCAAAACAGCAGGAGTTGACCACAATGCCATTTTGCATTAGGCCACAATATATTTTATAAAATGTGCCAAATTACAATGACACAAGAGTCATGGCTTCCCGATTTTGGACACATTTTGTGAGTTAGCCTGTTTGAGGCATTTGGGTTGAAAAATTGTTGTCCCATTAAAGGCTAAACATGGACAAACAGAAAAGTGTTAGTAGTATATAGATGAGTAAATGTGCATTGGGGAATGCAGTCAGGAAATGTAATACAAGAAGCTATTTAGTAACAAATATGACTTTCAGTGATAGGTAGTTCTGCTTCACAGGTTCTAAATATTCAACACTGGTGGATATTTAACTCTTATAATAGCTACCATGACAGTAGAAAACTGCAGCATTGTTGCAAACAAAGCATTTTGTACATAATTATTTGGTTTGAGTGACTTGATGACCACGAGAAGACTTTTTTTTTAACCTGCCCCCCAAGCATTTGTATTTTTGTGCTATGATTTTGATTTATTGTCTTTGCTTCCAACCTCAGAACAGAAGTCGAAAGACCCAGCTGACAGAAATTATTGGATTGTCCATTAAGAAGAAAGCTAATGGTCAAATAAGCATATTGATAATTTTAATTCAAGGGTGAAAAGATTTGAAAAAACAAAATAGTTTGGTTGATTCATTTAACTTAATTTTATAGCTTTTCAAGCACTTTTTATCCAGGGGAGGGCATAGAAATACAATTGTATGCCTAAGCTTCCAATGTGCATACAAGCAAAAAGGGATAATCATAATAATAAAATACAACATGATGTCCTGTTCTAAATCTTCTTTGTTCATTTCTAGATATACAACTAAGGTCCAATCCAGTATTGAAGATTTTGGTTTATGTGTTTAGCATATAATTTTATAACTTGTTTACTATATTTAAAAGCCTAATAGGTCTACAAGTCATCCAATCTCTCTTGTTATCTTTTGGTATATTGGTACGAATATTGTCTACCCCCCCCCCCAAAAATAAATAAAAATCTTTGGTGATGTTTCCCATCTCATCGGTGAAAATGAATGAGATCAGACTTTGTCCCAAAGAAACATGAAAAATAATATCAGGTATATTTTGAATGATGTTGATAATATTAATCAGCAAAATAAAAAAGCTGGTATGCTAGTTCTTGATGCAAAGATACGTTTTGACAATTTGGAAAGGCCTTTAATCTTCAATAAAACAAAGATGACGTTTTCTGAGACATTCTCTTAATAATGGTCAGAAATACCTTACTTGTTCCATTATCTTAAAATAAACAGAATAGTTTGAAAGGAATGACAGAAATAGGGTGGATTCTTAAGAGACCTAATAAAATTTGAAAAGTTTGTAACAAAACTTCAAAATATCTGCTGGGCTTATTATTTATTTGTTTTGTTATTGGAATATGATTCAAAACTGAACAAATTAAAGAACGTACCATTAAATAGATACAGATTTTAAAGAGAATGATTGATAATAAAAGCATGTGAATAACAATGGAAGATAATTATTAAATTTATGCAAGTATTACACTCAGAATTGATGCAAGATGATTTTTTTGTTGCTATATTATACTACTGTTCATTTCCAAAATTGATAATTCAGATTCAGAATCTGCTAAAAATACAATAATCAGGATGGACCATTTTTTTAAAGATTTGGTGGCAATGTCATAAAGCTCAACAATCCTAGAAGATGATTCATCCTAGAATGAACCAAATTTTAAATGTATTTTCTGCCAGCTATTTTTCTGTATTACTAAGCGTTAATATTCCTACAAAGGTCACACAGTTGCTGTTGTATATGATAACAGCTGCTTTGATACTTTATCCTTCTTACTAGAAATTACACACAATTCCTTTTTTTAGAACAGTAGCAAACTAACTGGGAATATGCATTATTGTCAAAAAAATAACTTTGTAGTTAAAAACAAGTCTAATAAGGAATTTAATTTAATCTGGAAACCATTTATAGAGTACGACTCAGTGCATGAACTTACACCATATCCAAAGTTTGTGTATTTCTTAATGTTAGACTTTAAAATGTCATATTTTGTGTGATTCGTTATGAGGTGCTTTCTCTGATTAATAATAAATTAAGATCACCTTTATATGCAGTACTATTCTAATGTCACATTGAAAAATGTAGCTTCTAATTTTTCTTTTCTTTTCGTCATTGTCTTTGTTTTGGTTTTAAATATCTGTTAAATAAAAAGTTTTTTAAAAGGTTAACATTATTTCAGGTAGGACAGACTCACTAGCTGCTTCCTTTTACATGCATAAAGGATCTTACCAGTTTAACCACTTCTGTCAAGGAAAGTGAGAGCCTATAGGACAGTTATTCATAACTGGATAATCCGTATTCATTTCATATCAGGATCTGCCTAACAAGTTTTTGAAATGTTTCTCCCATACTTATCTAAAATGTCTAAGATTTTTATTGGCTGAACTCTGGGAACTTTGGCAGAAGAAAAAAAATAATTCATTTCCTTGGTTGACTAAATCAAAAAATTTCCAGGCTTTTTCTGGGGTGTCTTGCTCATTTTTTTATTCACAAAATATTTGTTTTCAAAGATTTAACAGCTCT